GGGTGACTCCAACGCCACAGACCAATCAGACGGCTGCGCCTTTACAGCCTGGAATCGCGCCGAAACGCCATTCTTGGGATTGCAACACCGCGAATCAACGTAACTGTTGTGCGCTCATCATCGGGAATATGGCCAAAACAACAGTTTCGGTTCGTTGACCATGGGAATCCGTAAAATTCTGGCAATTTCTCAAAAAAAGAATGTGCGCGGCGCTAAGGCGACACCGGCATGTTGAAAATGAGCTGCCTTCAATCCGTGAAGCTCTTGCAAATGTTTCAAACGAATGTGCGCGGCGCTGGGGCGACAAACACATTTTGAAGACCACCCGCCCTCAATCCGCGAAGCTCTTGCACTTGTTTGAACGAACGCGCGCGGCGCTGAGGCGAGAGCCGCATTCTGAGAACCACCCGCCCTCCATCTGCGAACCTGTTGCACTGTTCAACCGGATGCGCGCGGCGCTAAAGCGAGAACCGCATTTTGAAAACCATCCGCCCCCCATCTGGGAAGCCGTTGCCAATTTCTAAGCTTCAGGGTCATAAATGGTGATGAAATCTTAGGCGAAACGCCCCGCCCGCCCTTTCAACCGGCCTGCGCGGCCACGCCACAGGTTATACCATATTGCGCTGTCCGTGCAGTTGTCAAATATGCCGTGGTAGTCGGGACCCTTCAGCGCATATTGTAGGCCCGGGAGTGCGGCGTCGTCCGCCTTATACTCCTGAACCGTCACGAGAGCCGAACGACAATCCTCCATGTACTTCAAGAGCGGGCCAGTGTTGTCTACATTGATAGTAGTGACCTGACCTTGAGCCGTCAAGCTACTGCCGCTTCCCTCGATTTGGTGAACGTTTTCGTATTCGGCGTTTCGACCTTGGGCGGAATGGGGGGGGGGAAGGGGGGGGGGGGTCGGGCTCGGAGCCTCTGCTTAATGCGATTGTTTGCGGCGGTGCGTCCTACGGAGGGAGCTCCACCTGCCTGAGGCAGGCGCCAACAACAACAGCCAAGATCTACTCTATAAGGGGATGTTGCGACCACTGCAAACTCGAGAAGGACCCGCCATCTTCACAACCAAGCTCATCATCATGCTTCGGGTCGTCGTGGCCGCCAAGAGGGGCAAAATGCACTCTTAGATCCTGAGCGCCAAGCGTGCAATCGATTTGCAGCTTGTCGTACATCATCATCACTGGCTTCATCCTCGTGCTCAGTACCAATCTGCACGACTTGTTGCCGCAAACTCCCCGCGCAAGAGCCATTGTGGGAGCCGGCGGCAATTCCTGAGCTGGCGTGCTTGGCGCTGGTGTTTGCTGCTCATGCTGTCAGTGTTGTGCATCTGCTGCCGTGCAAGCAGCAGCTCTGTGCGTGCCGAGCACCTGGATCTGCGCGTTGGTGATGCGGGTCGGCAGATCCTTGGCAATCTCCTCAGCCATCGGCATGGATGCTTCACCTGCCCCGACCTGCTTGAGAATAGCCCCCAACTTTGTGCAATCAAGGCCGAGCGCGCCAATAGTGCCAGCGCCATCGTGTGCGTGCTCCTGTTGAGGCGGATGGATGGCTGCCTTGGTCAACCCGATCTGCTTCAGACGGAGCTCCTCATACTTCTGCTCTTTGACCGCGGGGTCTTTGATCGACGAATCCAACTTTTGCTGCAGCTCGGCCATGTGCGTGCGCTGCTGCTCGATGGGACGTTTGAACTCCTCGATGCGCTAAGACGCCGTCGCCATCTGACGATTGACAGTGAGCATCTGAGCTGTAACAGGCTTGTGGTGACTGGTCTTCGCATGGACGGCCTCCTTCTCTGCTTTGGGAGACTCGCGCAAGCGTGTCCGTTGCACACCTGAGACCTTCCCTGTCAGCTCCAGTTGCTTGTCCAATTCATGAACCCTTCAACGTAGTTGCCTTCCTCGAGCGACTCCTCATCATATGCCAAATCCACGTCCATCGACAGCTCGATATCTTTGGTGCAGCTCGACTTGATTGCTGCTGCCTCCTGCAACTTCTGGATATGCGGTTGAAGCTCTTTGAGTTTGCCCGCGAGGTCCCAAGGCTTGAATTCTCCGCCAAATTTAGCTCCGCCACGACCTGCCTTAGCGTGCTTGGGCGGCTCGGTATGATGAACGTGGCTGTGGAAACACTCACCTTTGCGGCGCCGGCACTTGAAGCAACGGTCTCTCGTCGGCTTATTGAAGAATCGCTCCCCAGTCGGGGGTGGAAACAAAATCGGCAACGCCACGATCTGAGCTCTCCACCGTCCTGCTGCTGCTTAGCCATCGCTGCGCAACGAACGCACAGCAACACAAGCCAAGGAGCCTTGCAAGAGGTGGGGTCGTGATAAGCTTGGCCCTGTGCCAATTAGGCTCGCTGCCACCCAGCCGCTCTGAAGAATCGGCGGCAGCACGCTCAGGCCACAACTGCCTGAGCCAGAACGGCTAGGAGGAGGAGGGCGAGGAGAAGGAGGAGGAGGGGGAGGGGAAGGAGGAGGGGGAGGAGGAGGGGGAGGAGGGGAGGAGGAGGGGAGGAGGGGGAGGAGGAGGAGGAGGAGGAGGAGGAGGAGGAGGAGGAGGAGGTCAACGAGGGAGGAGGCAGGCGAGACGTCGAGGCGGGACGCGTGCTCCTTCCGCGCACTGCTGGGGGACGGCCGGTGCGGCCGGCGGGGCGCACCGCGCGGCCGAGTGCCGCCGGGCGAGCATGCCGCGGGCAAAGGCCACGGAAGAATGATCAGAATGACGGAGCGCCTAACGGGGCGCCTAACGGAGCGCCGCGGGCGAACGGCGCGGACCCCCCCCGGAACCCCCGGGAGGCCCAGTTAGCTTCCTTGTGAGAGGAGATGGGGAGGGAGAAAGGCCGCCCCAGGAGGAGGAGGAGGAGGAGGAGGAGGAGGAGGAAGAGCAGAAGAGGGAATTGTGACGGGTGATCGGCCACACGCCAGAGTGGTGACCCTTCTCCTCCTCCCTCCCCCTCTCCCTGCTCCTCCTTCTCCAACTCGGAGGGGGGGGGGGAGGAAATATTCGGCGGCGGGCGAGGGGGGGGAGTGAGAGGGGGCAGGCCTTTTCAGAATCGGCTACGCGCAAGAGTGACCCTGGGTAAGAGTGACCTTTGGTGCGCGGCTTTCGGGGGGCGCAAGGTGGCCGAATCCGCGCACACGCAACCGCTGTCGCATCGCGCTCAACGATCGGAGCCCCGTTGAACCCGCACCAAAGGTCACTCGGGCGAAAGGTCACTCTTACGCGTAGTCGAAGTGCTTCGGGGGCGACGATGGGGACAAATAGCCCAGGGGACGGTAATCCATGTGCCCAAGGGCGCCGGTGGCCCAGGTCTTCGGCGAAGCTCCCCGGGCCCCCTGGGCTATTCGCCCCTATCGTCGCCGCCGAATGATAAAGGGTGATCAGGAGGGAATGGTGAAGGGTGATCGGCTACACGCAAGAGTGGTGACCCTGGGAAAGCGTGACCTCTGGTGCGCGGCCTTTGTTGGAGCGCTAGGTGGTGCCCACATCCAGGCGCGCAGGCAGCCACTGTCGCATCGCGCTCCACGATCGGGGGGCCCCGATGAGCCCGCACCATAGGTCACTCGGGCACAGGGTCACTCTCGTGCGTCGCCGAGGTGGTTCGGGGGCGACGATGGGGGCAAACAGCCCAGGGGAGAGCAATACAGATACCCAGAATCGCCGATGGCCCATGCCTTCGGCGGAGCGCTCCCCAGGCGAATGCGTGCAGTGCCCGCCCCTGGGCTGTCCGCCCCTATCTTGGCCGCCGAATGGTAAAGGGAGGGAGGAGGAGGGAGGAGGGAGGAGGAAGGAGGGAGGAGGGAGGAGGGAGGGGGGAGGAGGAGGAGGAGGAGGAGGAGGAGGAGGAGGAGGAGGAGGAGGAGGAGGAGGAGGAGGAGGGAGGAGGAGTTTGAGGAGGAGGAGGAGGCTCCAGGAAGGCCGCGGGCTCTCCGAGGCTTGCTGGGGCCTCCTGGGAAGCCTCTCGGGGGCCTCTCGGAAGCATATGCTTGGCCTTCATGAGGCCGCTCGGGAGCGTCATTGGGGGCCTCGGGGGATCTCCTGAGGGCCTCTTAGGGGGCTGCCGGTGGCTTCCGGCGCCATCTCTGGGGGAGCGACTGGAACGACAGTTCGGGTCCCCCTCTGGAGGTTCTCCGGGGGCCCTCTTCCTGGGCTCTTTGGGGGGGCCTCGTGGGTCGTCTTGGGGCCTCCTTGGGCCGTCTTGGGGCCTTCTCGGGCTGTCACGGGGCTCCTATGGAGGCTCCTGCTTTATGACGAGATAAGCTAGATGAGGTCGTGAGCAGGGCGGCATAGGCCATGGGCAGAACGAAATTGCAAAACATATTTGATGCGTCCAAATGAATACTCCAAGTCTGTCATCAATCAGGCTACGGTATGTGTAAGCAAACCCCGAACGAGGAAACTGGGAGGGGGGGAGAATACGGGGGAGATGGCAGGGTCATGAGGATTGGGATGATGATGATGATGATGATGATGATGATGATGATGATGATGATGCTGATACTGATGCTGCTGACGATGATGGTGATGATGATGACGATAATGATGATGATGATGATGATGATGATGATGATGATGATGATGATGATGACGAAGACGATGCTGATGCTGATGCTGATGCTGATGCTGATGCTGATGATGATGCTGATGCTGATGCTGTTGCTGATGATGATGATGCTGATGCTGATGCTGATGCTGATGCTGATGATGACGATGATGATGATGATGATGATGATAATGATAATGATAATGATAATGATAATGATGATGATGATGATGATGATGATGATGATGATGATGATGATGATGATGATGATGATGATGATGATGATGATGATGATGATGATGATGATGATGATGATGGCGATGGTGATGGTGACGGTGTTGGTGGTGGTATCGGCGATGGGAATCAGCCGATCCGGCGTGTGAGTTTCTGAGGGCGTGGACTTGAGTTCGCTCAAGCTTCGCTCTCTAGGGGGGGGGGGGAAGCCATTCCCGACGCATTTAGTGCTCGGGGGCGGGGGGGCCCACAGGCCTCCAAGAAGCCCCCAGGAGGCTCTGGAAAAGGGGGGAAGGGACGCCATTCCCGACGCATTTAGTGCTCGGGGGGTGGGGGGGCCCGCAGGCCCCCAAGAAGCCCCGAGGAGGCCCCAGAAGGCCTCCAAGAAGCCCGAACGAGGCCCCAAGAGGCCCCAAGACGACTCGCAAGAGGCTTCCCCAGGTTCCTTGCTCATCATCATCATCATCATCATCATCATCATCATCATCATCATCATCATCATCATCATCATCATCATCATCATCCTCATCATCATCCGGAGCGCCCCGGATCGGCGGCTCTGGTCGGAGGCCAGCATAATCTCGATGAAGAGGGGGTAAGAGTGACACAAGTGGTGATATCAGTTCAGGTCGATCGCATTGCTCGTCTTGGACAGCGTGGCAGTGGCGGGTGGAGAGGAAGGACCTGTGTCGGCGTTTGCGTCTTCAGTCGGCACCCTCATGCTCGCGATGGAGAGTCTACTTCTGCCTTGCTTCAGGTGCTGCCTCATCTCTGGGAATGTGTCCAGCAAGGCCTGATACATCTCGTCCTGCTTGCTCAGGCAGATCATCAAATCCAGGCTTCTGGCCGTTCCCTTCAACTGATTCACGCCCCGGACCAGCTCATGGATATTCACCGTGCGGTCCCCGTCCGCATCCATGAATTCGAACAAGGCGTCCGCGTCCCCGACCTCGAGCCCCATGGACGACAACCATGTCTTGACCTCCACGTTCTGTATCAGCTCCAAGAACGTTGTCTTGTCCAGGAAGCCGTTGCCGGACGTGTCCCCAGCTTTGAAAAGCCGCTCCATCTTCTTCATGTGGGTTCGCGTCGCGGCCTCTTTCTGGTGCATCATGATGAAGTCATCCTGTGGGCGATGCGCGCGGGCCTCCGAGGACCGTTTGCCCTGGATCCCGAACACACCCACCTACCTCCCTCCTCACCCTTCTTCCCCTCCCTCTCCCCCCTCTCCTTCTCCTCCTCCTCCTCCTCCTCCCCATTCTCCTCCCCTCTCCTCCTCCTCCTCATCTCCTCCTCCTCCTTCTCCTCCTCATCCTCCTCCTCCTTCCTCCTCCTCCTCCTCCTCCTCCTCCCCATTCTCCTCCCCATTCTCCTCCCCATTCTCCTCCTCCTCCTCCTCCGGCGGAAGAGGCGAAAGCATGGATCAAAACGCGTGGGTGAACGACGGGTCCCGCTTCCGTGCAGCATCGGCGCGCCCCGTTGCTGGATCGAGCGGCGTGGGCCTCATGTTTCGGGGGGTACCTTCCCCGATCCGTTGGAGCGAGTGCCCACTTGCCAGGCCCCCGGATCCGTAATCCACACCAGCTTGCGCCCTCCCCTCCCCTCCTCCTCCTTCTGGGCTGCACCGACCTTAACTGCAAGCTGTGGAGTCCTTAGCCCCCCCTCCTCCTCCTCCTCCTCCTCCTCCTCCTCCTCCTCCTCCTCCTCCTCCTCCTCCTTCCTCCCTCCTCCTCCCTCTTCTCCCTCTCCTCCCTCTCCCGCTCCTCCTCCTCCTCCTCCTCCTCCTCCTCCTCCTCCGCCTCCTCCTCCTCCTCCTCCTCCTCCTCCTCCTTCCTCCTCCCCCCCCCCTACCCGTCCTGGGCGGCGACCCGGAATGTCTCCTGGATCCGCCACCGTGCCCCTGGCACGTCGAGGCGTGGCAGAATGCCGCGGGCTGCCTGGTCGCGGGCTGAGCAATCTTCTTAGGGACCCCTGGGTGGCCTGACGCCCCTGCAGTATTCGGCCTGATCTAAGGAACGAAAAATAAGGAACGAAGCCCTTTTTTCTAAGTGAGTCAAGGAAGTCAGAAGGAACACCAAGGGGGCTCGCCGCCAAAAAGGTAGCAGAACGCATGTAAAACCAAAGCAACGACCGAGCCCCTTTTGAGAAGTAAGTGCTCCTTATTCAAGCCGGACCCTCTTTATGGGGCTCTCCGAAGCGTCCAAGTTGCTCAAGATGGCTTCCAAGACCGCTCATACAGCAAATCAAAGACCGCCAATATAAGACGGTCAAAGACGCTTGCAATATGGCTTCAAGGCTGCCAAGGAGGCCCCCAAAACGGCCAGCGCGGGCTTTAAGAAGATCGCCATGACGAACCCAAATCGTTGAATTCTTATCATGTTGAACGATGTTCGCGTTCTCACATGTTCGGGGTTCCGTCAACCCATGACGTCCAAAGAGGCCTCCAAGATGGCCCCAAGATGGCTTAAGAGGCCTCCAAGACGGCACCTGTACAGTCCAACAATGACCCAAGACGGCCCAGAGAGGCCTCGACGACGGACTGACAGTGAGCCCCCAAGAGGCCCCCAATACGCCTCCAAGAGGCCCCAAGAGAGGATGAGGAAAACATGTGAGGGGAGATATGCGACGACGAAAACGAACAGAGACACCCCGACACGACTCGGAAGAATTTGTCTGTCACATTGTGTGGCTCTCCCAAACCTCGAGTCACGAAATCTTACACATTACGTCTTCATGTGCGCTTCTCGAACTGTGGCCACGCAGAGTGCTGGGCTGCCACGGTGGTGGGAATTGCCGCAGACAACCTTATAAAAACACCATTGATGATCCCGATTACGGCAAATCCGACCGTGAGCTTGTGGAACAAACAAATCACCATGAACCACTCGCTGACGTACTCCATCAACATCCGGCAGACCGGCAGGAGAGCCCATAATCGAAGCGATAAGTCAGATCGGCGTTCGAAATGAATCGGATCGGCGGAAAGCGGCAACCGAGTCGGGAGAAGTCGAAGAGGCGGAAATTGGCAGGCTAGTATGCCTCCAGTAAAGAGTCGGAGTCCAAATCGGAATCCGAAGTCGAATTGAATCAGAATCGGAAACAATCGAAATCGGATCGAATCGAATCGGAGGAATCGAAACGAGCCCTGGACCGGAGGCCAATTCGCCAGCGTCATCTCGAAAGTGCTGAGCAGCGCCCGGGAGAAGCTGCCCCAGTACTCGAATATGCCCTCCAGCTCTTCCTGCGGGTGGTCACCCCGGAAGTAGAACTCCTCCAGGAGCTGGTTGATGGTAAAGGCGACCAGCACCTGGATCATGAAGAGCAGCATGCAGGACCAGGCAAGGACGATCGCGCTGCTCCTGATCGCGGTGGTCATGAGGAACAGCGCGTCGAAACTTCGAATCTGCCTCACCACGCGCACCAAGCGCAGCAGGCGGGCCAAGCGGGCCAGTCGGAGCATGGTGGTGTCCGCCAGGCTCTTCTCCACCACGGCGAACAGCTCGACGACGAAGCAGAGGACAATGAGAAGATCGAACAGGTTCCAGTAGGACTTGAAGAACGCGTCGCGCAGGGCGAAGATCTTGAGGGCAACCTCGCACGCAAATACGACACCGAAGAATATGCTGATCCCCTTCAAGATGCCCTCTGCCCCTGGCCACGGATTTGGATTCGCGGCATACTCGCGGTAGCCGAGGTCGTATCCGCGGACGAGTCCAGAATACTGCACCTCGAAGGCCATCTGCAGGCCATTCAACATGATGATCAAGCCGATTATCTGCCATCCCCCGCTTGCCAGGGGCAACCAGCATGCTCCAACACTACCTCCAAGACAGCCCAGCGTGTCCCATGATATGCCAAAATGCTTCCAACATGCCTCCACGATGCCTGGGCACCGCTCCAAGACGGCTTCGAACGGACACGGAGCCTCCTAAGGACGTCCCCGAATTCAATATCGGCTGAACACCAATGTAAATGATACCGGAGAAAAAACCCAATCATAATCTTTTTAGGGCTTTAGGGCTATGGGGCTATAAGGCTATGGGGCTAGAAGGCTATGGGGCTATAGGGCTACAGGGCCATAGGGCTATAGGGCTATTGGGCTATAGGGTTATGGGGCTGTGGGGTTATAGGGCTATATGGCTATAAAGCTATACGGCTATAGGGCTATTAAGGCTATAGGGCTATTTGGCTATAGGGCTATATAGAGCTACCGGGCACCTGGGCACCCGGGCACCTGGGCGCCCAAGCACCTGGGCACACGGGCACTCGGGCACCCGGACACCCCGGCACCCAGGCACCCAGGCACCCGGGCACCCGGGCACCCGGGCGTGCGGCGAAAATCGGCGGCAAACCTAACCTAACCATATGAATCCGCTAGGACCCCCACAGAGGCAAGCAAGCTCTGATTGGGGAACCAATTGTGTTCGCCTTATGTATTGCCGTGTCGCTCCCGATGGGCTGTTGAGGCCTCAAGATGGCTCAAAAATTACCAAAAAGACCTCCAAGGGAGACCCACAATAGCTCCGATACGGACCCAAGAGTGCGCAAGAACGCCCCAATAGCGCCCTCATATGGCCCCAAGAAGCGATGTCTCTGACTCCACCTGGTAAGCCTATGAAGACACCCCTTCGCCCAAAACCGAATTCATCGAACATCTTGAGGTGTTTGACTGGTTTTCTCATCTCGGGGGCATCCTTGAGAGGCTCTTGAGCAAAGATGGCTCGAATATGGTCTCCAGGATGGCTCAGCGCGTCTTCCAAGATGTCAAGATGATCTCCAAGATGTCTCAGCACGTCGTGCAAGAGCAAATGCTGCCTCGAATATGGCCTCCAAGGTGCCCAGATGGCCTCCAAGATGGCTCAGCACGTCCTCCAACGTGCCTCTCAGAGGCCAGAGGACTACGAGTGGCCACGGGGCGTTCCAAGAGAACCCCCGGGAGGCCAAATTCATTCAACATTACCTGCCACTGCTTTTTTGGTCTCCGAGGGCCCTCCTCCTTCCTCCTACTCCTCCTCCTTATGCGACCGCCGTCGTGCCGCCGCTCCCGCAAAGCGGTGAGAATAGGCTGGCCCTGCCTTCTTGCGCCCACGGACTCTGGCGTATGGCATGGGTGTGTGAGTGGGTGAGGGGCCTGCGGATTTTCAAGGTCCGAGGTTGCCAACGACAACAGCAAAGCCCACCGCGGCCCCAATAGCGTCCCACGAGTGCTCCAAGAGCTGACACTTCGGGGTGAGAATCGAAGTGGGGCTCAAGCCCCAATCAATCCACAATGTAATGAAACGTTGAGTAAGAAAACTTCTTGCTCGGAGAGGCGATGGCAATACAGACTGGACCCGAGGGCGGAACGCAGATAATTTCTCATACATGATCATGTAGAAAACTCGACGCAATATCGAATGGCCAATCTGATACAATCCGACGGCTAGGTAAAATCGAGTCCCACACTTTGCGTGCAGAAATGCGATCCAATCAAGATTGTCAACGCCATGTCCCATTAGATCCGATCCTAACAATACAAACCACAACTTGGTATTTTGGTACTCCGGCATGATTACGTCGAGGAGGTCGTCGAAGTTACCAAGATTGTACTTGTGGAAGAGGTCGTGGGACAGTTGGAACGCATGCCAAACGCTCATGACAAGGTCAGCCGTTACGAACTGAACCAAGATGACGACCCTTCTTGTGAGGCGAGTAGCGTTTTTAGCAAATATGGAACGATCAAGGAAGCGGAGGCCACAATCGACGGTCTTATGGCGAGTTTTCAAACACAGAGCGGTTTGTTCATCGATGCTGATGACGAAACGAGTAACACATATGCAGGTCGACATTCCCAAATCCAAGCCACATGAACTTATACAGGGATGAAGTGGAGCAGCGCTATGACTTCATGCAACGTTATTGTCCTTGGCGGGGAACATGCAGCAAATTGCACAACGCGACCGGAGACCCGCTGAGCAAAACTGGCGAGTTGTTGGAATTGATGTACGCATTGCACAAACTATGGCCGAGGTGATGGGTAGTATCGCACAAACACATGGGAGGCAAATGTGCCCCTTCTTTATGTAACGTTCCATGATCAAACAGATGGGACAACTTCATTCACTGGTGTCACAGATTCGAACGATGGGCTCTGAATCAATCGTTTACTACAGCATCTGAGTTTCGGCGCTCCGGCGCCCGCGCCGAGCTCTTAGAGGGCCGCCCTCGCACCGGGGCGAACGTCGGCGCCTTGCCTTGCCACGCCTCGAAGATGACCCCACGGGCCCTCAGAAGGCGCCCGAAAGGGCGTGAGGAGAACCGCGACATCGTTCAAAATGGCCTCAAGTGGGCTCAACGAAATTCTTCGACCGCAAGATTCGCGAAAGTCTTCATGGACGACTCCTGGTGCTGTCGTTGTCGCCCCTTACCTCCTCCACCGTGCCCTTCCTGCTTTTTCAATTCCTGGGGAGGATTCCACGGGGGCGATTTGATGTGTTTTCCGTCGGCAAGAATGCGCGGGTCACGCAGGTTGAATGCTTGAACCAAGCGGCGTCGGTAACGACTGCCGTTCAACTCCCGCACCCAGCTACGCTTCCCACCCATTCGAAATAACATGTTCTAACCCCACTCTTCGGCTGGTAAGCAGCATGCGCAGACGGGGAACTGTAATTTTGACTGGATGAGACACCTGCTTCCCAAATGACAATGCGTCGTTGTCAGGCATCCACCCAAACAATTCGAATATGCTGGCAAGCGTTTGTTGCAGGTGCGCAACAGGGCACCGGTAAAAGGCGGTTGCTGTTTGAGCGTGAACATGGAAAAGGCCTCCTAACATGAGACGCAGTGCTTATTTTCCCACCACGAAATGCAAAGTCACGCTAGTAGTGTTTAGCATATTCCGAAGACATGATCTGATACCTGCTCGGCGTGCCCTCTGGTGGCACGGTGGCTCGGCCGCCCCTGCTCCTAACGCTGGCTGGCGTGTCGTTTGAAGCGAACGCGGGCACTCGGTTCGTTGCGGCTGCTGGGCCGCATGCGCTGGTCGCGCGTTTCGCGTCGTTGAGCTGCTCCTTGTTGGCCCAGCAACCGAAGCCGCCCTCTCGCTTCCTCTGAACAGTCTTGTAGACAGCGTCGTCGTGCCTGCCCATTGCTTCCCAGAAAAAAAAGTCAACCTTGCCTAGGCCACATGGGAATGCCCTGCCGGCGCCCCCCCGCGACCTTATGAACTCAGTTCCCGCTTCCGGGTCGGCCAGCCACCTGCCTCCTTTTAACCGCAGGTCGAAGTCGAGAGTGGGCAGCCATGCCTGCCAGCAAACAGCCGATTGCCTAACTCTGCTCCTTTGGCGAACATCTTACGCATTTGGCGGGAACGCGAATGGCCCCGGATCCATGGTGCGACGCGCCATCGACAACTCGGCACTGAGGGCGGTCTTGTGCGAGATGGTCGCTGGGGCGTCGCGGTTGCACTGAAATTTGTTCCTTGAACACTTTTGTGGGATATCATGTTGCTCGTGCGTGGCGGGACATTTTTTGCTAAATTGAAGAAGAATTCGGCGATCTCGTCAGCGGCGGATATAATGGTAACCGTTCTGGTGCTTGTCCCACCACGATTGCGCTGTGATTCCTCGCCGAGAACTTCGACGCCGATGACCATCGTACTACCGACCTACAGCATGCCGAACATGTTGCCGACAATGACCAGTAACCCGTCTTCCCGCGTCTCTGCTGCAGCTTGGGTGAACTGATTCTTTTTAGGGAACATTGTGGTGAGCCAGCTGGCCTTGCCGAAATACGTGAACGTCCGACGTAATTCGGTTGGCCTTAACTGAGCACTGTAGCTGCGAGGTAACTTCGGCTGGTGGCTGCCTTGCGATTGCCAAGAATCATGCAGCGCCGGCATGCACCCGCTCCACTGCGAACGCCACGCTGGAGGGCCATCACATAATGGCATCGGCAACAATCAGTACACGTCTCCAACACGGAAGCGGTAACTCTTGATGAAGCCGTTGCAGTCCCCCTGGGTGAAGCAACGACCAGCAGCTCCCTCGGCCCGTAGACTTTTGTCCAGTAGCCGAGGAAGCTCCAACGGTGCGGTTCGGGCGTGCGAGCGAAAGTTCGGGTCGCATTAGAGGGCGCAACATCCACCCCCGCAGTCGTCACGCCGACGCGCGAAGCCGTTTAGTCAACGCGCCCCAAGAAGGAATCGAACATGGAAGGGCTGTCTAATAAACGCGCAGGGCCGTTTAGTAAACGCCAGTTGTCGGGGCAAGATTGTTTGTCCTCCCTCGACGTGCATAGCGTCGAAGGGGCCCATTGGCCTTGACCGTCCCGCTGCCCATTTGTGCCTCGCGGTACTTCGCGATGACCTCGGCAGCCCTTGCCTTCGCCCTGTCGCCCAGCGCGGGCGGAAAGGCGGGGGGTCGCGCGGGGCCCGCCAGCCGCGAGGGTGACCCGGCGCCTCCGCTGCCGCTGTCATCTCCCTTGCAGCTGCCAGCTGGCCCCCGCCTTGGAACGATCGGGAACTTTCGGCATCTTGTTGATCGAGTTGTCCCGCCTATGGGGTTCTTCGCGCTGAACGCCTTCAGAAGCGAAAAGTGCCCTGTCGAAGTTGGCTCGCGGAGCCGTGAGCAACCCGGCAGGCGGCCCCTCGGGAGGAGGTGCGCCCTTAAACGTCGCGGCTAACTGCAGCGGCTGACATGGGCAACCCTCGCCGATTGGCCGGGGGTCGCGCTCTCGCCCCAGCAGCGGGGTCACCGACAG